TAAGCCAATATGACAGCAAACAATCAACAACCCTGGCCATGAAGGGTAACATCGATACCATGCTTTACCCCAAAAAACAAATAAATGGATCCGAGAGTAAATCAAACCTGAGTTCTTCCTAGAAGCCAAAATGACGGAACTGAAGCTATCATACTTTGGTCATATTGTGAGAAGGCCTGACTCACTGGAAAAGGTGAGGAAGATGGATGAAGACCTGAGCAGGTGGGTAAGAACGGGGTGTCTTGGACATTGCTCATTCATAGGGTTGCCATAGGTTGAAGGCGACAATGCCAAACAGCGGCAATAGTAGACCCTTGACTTCTGATTTTGAGAGAAGTGCCACTTCTTTGATTGATCATTAGAAGGAACTTCTTGATAGTGAGAGTGGTTCGATAATGGAATCAATTCCCTAGAGAGGTGGCAAGATCTCTTTCTTCAGATGTCTTCAAAAAGAGGATGGACCGCTACCTGCTCAGGGTGCTTTAGCTGGAGATCCTGCATCAAGCAGAGGGTTCGACTAACCTTCAGGATCCCTTCCAATTTTAGGATTGTATGATTATATGATTCCTCAGCATCTATCAGGACCCGGCCTTTGTGTGGCAGCTTTTCTGTTATACAACAGAGCAACCCTTAATTACTTTGGCAAAAGGCAGCTTCTCCGTTATGGGAAGCTGTCAAGGCAGGTTTGCATCACCCCAGGCTGCTGTTCACCTTATGCTATTTTTGCCCTAAATGTAGCTTTTGTGGCTCTGGAGTCTTGCAGGAACGCAGACGGTGTTGGTGTGTGTTTTTCTAAATACTTCCTGTCCCCCTCCTCCCTTCCCTTTAATAATAATAATAAAATTTATTTTTATCCTGCCCCTCTGTGTAACGCAATCGGGGCGGCTTACAACATTAAAATGTACATTTCATATCCCACAATCCCACCCACCCCTTAAAAGACTATTAAACAATGACAATTTAAAACACACTTAAAATAATATTACAAATAAACAGTAACTGCAGCAGAATCAGGGGAACAGGTTGGGCTCTCTTTTGATGGCAGGGATATCTAAATAAAATAAAATAAAATAAATATCTATTGGTCCTTCCCTGTTGCTTTTCCTGCTCCTTTGATTCTTCCCTGTTGCTTTTCTCATGAAGCCGGGCCTCTGAGCTTTGGAAAGCTGCGTTGGCATTCTCTGCTGGCTGCAGACCTGTCAAAATCCCTCTCACACACTGTTTCACCACTTTGACCCAATTGATCACAGCGCCAGGTCATAACAGACTTTGCAGGTGGTTTCCTCCAATTGTGCACTGACACAGTGAAGATCCCTGCCTTCACCTTGAAGGTACATAAAGAACAAAAGGCGAGCAACAGGTGAGATGGGGAGAAGGGAAGCACCCCAACAGGCAGGGCCAAGTGGTGGCTGTTTTAGAGAGAAAGGTTTAGCACTTGCAATAGTTCTTTCAAACTGATCCCTTGATCAGATCCATTGCTCTCCACTGCTGAAAAAAACAGGTGAAAGGGAGGCACCATCTGAAGCTGTTTTAGGAATGGGGTTTAGCACTTTGGATAGCTCTTTTAACACCAAAGTGGATTCATAGCTATAGAAGTCATCAGACATCTCCTCAAAAACAGGAGACAGAAAATATATCCAGGAGTAGCTATGTTGGCTGAGAGCCAGCATGGCATGAGATCTGAGCGTCGGACTATGACTGGAGACCACTGGGTGATCTTGGGCAAGTCACACTTTCTCCGTCTCAGAGAGAAGCAAAGGCAACCCCCCTCTGCATTAACTTGTCAAGAAAACCCTATGATAAGTTAGCTTTAGGTTCACTGTAAGTCAGACAGAACTTGAAAACAGACAACAACAATAGCTGTGTTGCCCCTACAGCAAAGTACAAGAACATCCAAAAATCCAGAAAATAATCATACTTTCATTGGCCAACCAAAATACATGATGCAAGCTTTCAAACCTCCACTGGCTTCTTCATAAGGCAAAGGTGTTAAAAATCAAGCAAGAAAAAAAAAAACAATCAGGAGAAAGATTCTTTTTGTGTTGCTAATGGACTTTAAATTCTATTTCCTGGAGTTTATAATCCTTTGCCATGGGCAAACCCCCTTTGAAGAAACATGCCAAGAAAACCCTGTGATCGGTTCATCTTAGGGTTTCCATAAGTCAAAAATGACCTGGAGGCACACGACAACAACAACAATGCCAATCTCCATCTGGCAACAAAGTCCAGTATTTCAGGTAGCTCTTTGAAAGTGCAGGTTAAAACTCAGAACAGATGTACTATCCCACTGCCATGGCATGGGTGCCCACCAAAATCCAATTAATATAAAAGCAGACAGGCATATTCAACCCCCCCCCACCCCAAATCTTTCCTGAAGCTTAGCAGGATGCAGTGATGGTGGTGCCCATGCCCAGCTGCTTGCTTGGAAATCCCCATGCAAAAGGCCTCCAAGATCTCACGGGGCAGGAATCTCTGAAAGCATTCCCATCACTTCTTGAAGGTTGCAGCCTTGGCAATCCACTTCCCCCCTCTTGCTACCTGCAGATGGGCCCATCTGTCTGCTTTTTATGTCCAAGATGCTGGCAAGGAAGGAATTCCCTTTCAGCTCAGGGGGTTTGTGTAGCCTTACCAATTGCTATAGGGCATCCTTCTACTCATTGTGATTTATTTCTGTTCTGGAAAATGAGGTGTATTTTTTTTT